GGGAAAGATAGATCACAAGACCTGCAAATCCATCCAAGACGTTTAGTTCTGTATCTGTTTCCTGGTTTGTAATCTATTGTACCAATTTGTCGAGGCTTTGTGGCCTGAGACAAGGTTTATCGCCATTTCGGGCGATCATCTTCATTTTCAGACCGTATCTTTGTTCTCCGAATCTGCTTGAAGACAAACATTACGAACAGGTATTGGATGACTCGCGTGTGAATGTCAGACTAGGACAGATCATTCATCTTATTGAGGTGGGTATGTTCGAATGTTACTATATCCAAAAGTGGACACCAACCAAAGAAATCTGAAAAAACAAAAAGACATCAACATCGTCATTGCCTTAATCCCATGTTTACTTGGAGTCGGCCGAGTTTGACATACGTAACAATTTCATCATCTTATTCCCAAGTTTACTTGGGGTGAGTGGTGTTTGACATGTAACAAAATTGGGAAACAGTGTGGAGCGAAAGACAAAAAACTTGGAAGTGTTTTCTGTGGAGGAATGAAAATATGAAAGGGGGAAGAAAATGTTAATTATCAGTGGCTCAACTGGTCGATGATCTTTGAGAGCGCTGAATATGTTCCAATGGTGGAAGATACGCCGCCCACTATGATGATTAGAATACAAACCATCACCTGGGAAAAACATAACAAGAAACGGTTGTCGCTTATGCAAACAAAAGGAAAGAAAGCCGAGAAGATCGTTAAACTAACATCTACTAGAAGAAGAGTGCAGAATGTCGTACCTGCAAAGGCGTCACTTTTCTCCCCAGGATGCTCAAGAAACAAGCAGGCGGAAGTATCAGAGTCTGCGAGCAGGCAAACGGTAAATACAAGTGTTGGACAAAAAATCTCGAGTTTCGGGTATCCAAGTACTATATGGGATCCAAAATATATTTTGGATACCGATTTTTGGGCATCCAATAAAAAAAGATCCAAAATCGAGTGATATCGCGTGAGTTTGAGACTTTCGGATAATCTGAAAATCTCTGATAACTAACCGTTGCCTGCCCCTAATAAAGACCTTTGAGATTCTCAAATGCAAATATGAGTTGAATGGTTGGAAAATCGCTGGCATATATTAAGGATGGAAGAAAGATGGCTTACAATGAGCATTGTCAGGAATGATCCGATCAGAGACATCACGAGACCTGCGGTATTTCAAGTGTTGGTTATAGAGAACTGATGTGTTCTAAACGAAGCGAGAGAAGCAGTGCGTATAAGTCTCAAAGGTCACAACAGATTGGGGGGGGAGTGGGGGGGAAGGGTTTCAGTCTTACCAAAGAAGGGAATGGAGAGACCGACGAACAAAGTAGAGACGACAAGCAAGGTTCTGATGCCGATAGCGTACAAATGTGACTTTGAATGACTTGATGGTATCAACTCCTCAAGACTCATTGCTACCGGCGATAACGTCAAAGCATATGTGCTTTCTTTTGTTAAGGAACGGGCATTGTGCTTTTGTTCTTGAAAAATAAGCAAGACAACATGTGGAAATTTACAGTGAAATGGAAAAGTTTTCGAATTAGCCTAATTGTTTCTTGGAAAGGATATTTGGTGAATGGATTAACTACCTGCAAAACAAGTTAGAAATCGTCTATAAGAAAAACACAAAAGGCAAACTGTTTTGAAAAACCATCTGTCTCGGGATTTAGCCGTGATATTTTGGTTAGGAAAAACATACCGTAGTCCAGACGGCGATCTTAGATGCTACCAAATCTTGAGGCATGTTGAGGGTAAACTGCGACTGCGTTGATTCTCCAAACATCGTGTATCCCATGAAAGCCACACCGGCATACATCAGAGTAGATATACCGAAGCTGCAAAAGATGAAAAGGCATTCTTTCTAAATCATAGGCTTTTTCACATTCAAAAAGTTAAATTGGCTTGAGTTGAGTGTTGTTATTTTCAGCATTTCTGTTGCTTACCATGTCAAGAGGACGGCGGGATATTGAGATGGTTTTGCCATCGAAGTGTAGATATTAGGAAACACAGCATGTCCTGAATAACAGAAACCGTAGAGCCCTATGGCCACAGGTAGAGTTCCCAAGTTCAGTACTGTCCCTTTGCTGTGGATTCCGACATCATCAACCAAACCAACCCAAAACAAGCATAGAACCACCAACACTGATGCAATGACTCCTCCAGCTGAAAACAAAGACATAACTCTGTCAGACATCTGTTAAAAAAAAAGAGAGAGATTATTCCCATACGCACAACTCCCATAAATCGACGAATCAAATTCTCCAAAAGAGAAAGGCAAAAGACAAAACCTGAGATGTAGCTTAGTACACTGAGATCTCGGAGCCAAACGGTCGGGAGAACAGAGAGGGTTGTTATCAATGCGAATAGATGGTGTGAATCTAACTGATACCCTCCAATACTTAAACCAGCATTTGGAAACAGTGAGGATAAATTATCACTCTCCAGAATGATGTATTCCACACAGCTTGCCTGCAAAACAGTAGAGAAAATAATTTACATTTACCAGTTACCGGTGTTCACCCCAATTCTATATTCATTTCTATTCATAGAGCTTCGGAATCTCACGAAAAATATAGTTTAGGATTTTCCTTTTACCATAGTTTGTTTGCATTTGTCCTCCCAACAATATCATAGAATATATTTATATAATGTCGGTAAGAGGATAATGCAAAATATTATAGAAAGAAAACAAAGCGGCGGTTTGACGTACGGCCAAAAAAATCAATAAATGGACTAGTGAGAGACAAGATTGGGCCTAACCAAACGTGTTCCACTACATGGGGTCATATGGATCATACATGTGCCATGTGGTCCCTTGGGCGATTATTGGCTAAAAAGTTCTCGTGTGCTTATCTCAAATAAACGATAGAGCACCTCGATTAAATTAATTAAGTAATAACTGGACAAAGAACAGCTGTACTTACGTATAGCTCCAAATAGAGTATAATCTGCAAATAAAAAGGAAAAAAGGCAAAAGAAAGAAGAAAACATGTAAGAACGACAAATCTATAATATCATGATCAAGTCAAGTTGCAAGCTATCTTCTAGTAATCATATGTATATTTAAAAGGTTATCTTAATCAACTTGTTATACAATTAAGGACATCTAGAGTAGAGGAAAGTAACGGACAAGTATAGCTAAGTTCTGGTTGATAGGTAGAAAACTTGAATAAATAATATCTCGAAACATTAGGTTATTTTATCATTTTCATGCAAATATAGGATTCCTCATTCTGATCAGCTTCCTTACCAGGCTGTTCATGGTTTCGTAATTTGGTTATATACGTTTGTGGGTTTGGCGTTACAGCCACTTGGAATTTGAACCCAACACAGAGAAAATGTACCACTTACAGAGACAATGATACGGCCGGTGGTGCCAAACGCAGCTTGGCCAATATCGGGGTAAGTCTCAAGCTCAGGCTCACTGTCGAGGCAGTAACGCAGAAGCAATCCGGTGTAGAAGGAAAGTATTCCAAATGCAAACAAAACGAGGAGCCCCAACCATCCTCCTTCTTTTGCAGCATAAGGGGTCGAAAGTATTCCAACGCCACATAGAACGTTCATTCCTGCAGATGTGTGTGTGGTCCATGTTAAAATAATGAAGCTAAAACTGGCAAAAAAAAAACTCAGAATCAGTCAATAATACTGTGATTTGATGCGTGACAAATATCAGACAAAGTGGTGAGATCTTTTCTTCCTATGTATTTCAGATAGTTCTTTCATCAGATTATGTTCGTAATCATTAATTCATAATGTAAAGATTCGAAAGACATGACAATAAGTTTGTGAACCTACTTCCCCGGTCCTCTGGGAGATGTAGTCAGACCAAAGGTACGGTGAACTTTCGGTTTATCAAAAAAAAAAAAATTTGTGAACCTAGACTGAGCAGTCAAAGAAATGATCATGTGTCACCCATGTGCAGAAGCCCTCTGAGTATGATGCATAAAGCTGTTTTCTATCAATTAGAAGACCACAAAATGAGTTCTGTAATAAAACGACAGAGTAGTGACATCCCTAGATTCATATCCCTTGTGTGAAAAGCACTAACCAACTCTTCGTGAAACTCTAAGTGATTACGAAGTAGTTGAGGAATCTAGGAGTGAGGGCACAACCAAATGATATCACAAGTTTGAGAAAAGTTAAAAGACGATTATAAAAAATTTCGAAGACGATAATTTACCATTTTAATAAACCTATGACAAAACTCACCATTCATAACAGCCTGTCCGAATGAGCTATTGCGAGAGATTGGCATTTCGTGAGACACCATTGATGGCTTCTCATCCTTTCGCATCGAAGACCTCCTCGATGGAATCGGTGGCAAGAGGCCGTAGGAGCTGCGCCTTTGTTTTGGAGGTGGTTGTTCATCTGCTTGTTCTGGCAGCAGAGGTTTTGTGACACCAGGTAGCGTTTCCGGTGTGTGCCTTCTTACCAACGACGACGACAAAAAGGAACTGCCGAATCTTGACAGCGAAGACGTTCCCAGAAAACCGATGCCGGGTGATGGAACGCTACTATACAGATCAATGGACTGCCTAAAACATTGAAAAGAAAACAATAAGCGGACGATACAAGTCCTACATCGGATTCAGAGCAACAAAACCACAGAACCCTTGCAATATAAAGATAAAAAAAATGATACACCGAGATCATTCGAATGATTCAAAGAAAGCTGCATAAGCATACCTGTAACTTTGTGGCCAAGCAGTTGTGTATGAGCTTGGTTTGTTCTGTTGCTGGTTTTCATCGTAAGCCTCAGATGAATCAGAATGACTTCCATCTTCGTCGTGATCGAAATCCTTATTCTCGTCTTCATCACTCTCGATGTAAAAGCTCTGATCAGAAACCGAGTGATTCATTTCTTCACAATCTTTATCCGCCTGTAAAACTCAAACAAACCCATTTTTCCGATTAATCACGTGGAGGTTAAGAAAAATATGAAAGAGTGATAACCAAATCGAAACGAATTGGCGCTCCATACACAAAATCGTGGCAACAGCTCGAGATATAACCTCAAACAGCTCTATTCGGTTCTAAGAACTGGGTTCCTTGTCTTCAATCTCCTTTGGATTCGATAGTCAACAAGGAAAATAAAAATCGAGTTCAGATTTAAACAGATTATACGACCCTGGAATTTCAAATAAACCGGAAATTTTGAATGAAGCGTACATCGAAATTGGCATTTTGAATTCAGGCAAAATACATTACGAGTACGTTCTACAGGACACCACGAAACAAAATACTTCTCCGAGAAAATCTGTTCATCCGGCAAATGAGACAGAAAATACACGGAATCAGAGGGAATCTCAATTCGTTTCAAAATAATCCGAAATGGGAAAATGAAATGGTTTCCGCAGCAAATTACTCAATCGCTCAGATTGTATTCCAGAAAACGGAAAGATGTCAGAAACGCAACCAATTGAACAGCAGATAAAATGACAAGCATACAATCACCACAGACATTCGCAAGTTTCTCTTTGATGTTACCTGCAACTTTTCTCGGGATCCAAACGAACAGCTGCTTGGGATGAGAGAGAGAGAGCGGGAGAGAGAATTGAGCACGACAGAATGTGCGAGAGAGAGAGAGAGAGAAGGGAGACGGGGGCTTTATACGTAGAGACGCAAAAATACACGGGGAAAACCGAGCGTGTGAATCACGCGCGCCTAAGCGAGTGAGATGACGTAAGTAAAAACGCAAATGGGGAAGACCGCTTTTGTATCGCGAGATGGGATTCGTCAAGGCCGTAATTGATTACTTTCTCTGCGAGGGGAAATGTCATTAAACTCCAATCATGTAATACTAATAGTGACAATGTGGTCAACTAATTACTACATACCTTTTTGTTTTGTTTTCACCTACAATTTTATTTATGGTATTTTATAATTATCAATAAATAAATTAGAATTGCAAGAAATATGAATTTGAGAAATGGGATAAGATGAGTTGAGGATCTAACCGGTTATTCCTTTATTTTATTTTATTTTTTATATAATGGAAACCTTTTAGTTACGGATTATTGGGCCGCTAATATTTACTGTTTCTACAATGAACGAACCATTTTTTTTTTTTATAGGAATTGGTAAGAGTCTAGCTGTCCCGTTTAATCTATTTTGAGGTTGTGGAGATTGAGAGAATTCACGACAATCCAATTACACCGACATAAACATGATGAAATTGTTTATTTTGGATTTTCATTTGAATTCGATTTTCATTTCTCTAAAATCCAGTTAAAATAAAAGTAACTTTGATGTGGATTTGATTTGGATAAACTTTTGTTTTGGTTCCGTTAAGTATTAATTTACTCCAATTTACGTAAGTTTGGGTGGTATAGTGGTAAGAGAACATGCAAACTATGTTCTTATGTTGGGTTCAAATCCAAGTGTGGAGAAGGTCATTCACCTGGACTTCTCCGGTCCTCCGCGAGATATAGTTAGGCAAAAAACCCGGTGAACTCCCGGATTATAAAAAAAAATTACTTCAATTTAGATGAGGTAGAATTTTATTTTAATTTATACATGCTTATCGAATTAAAATTATATTAGTTTTACATATTGTTGATCTAGTTTGTTTTATTATTTATATTTACTGTTGTGGTTCTAAATATATGTTTATTTATATATAGATGATCTAAAATATAAAAAGCCAAAAAAATAATTAAAGAATAAAATATAAATATATTTTTTACAGTAAAACAGAAAAATCATAATAATCTAAACTCGGCCTTTTAATATTAGATACTAAATTTATTGCATATTTTTATTCAAAGTATTTACCATTATTTACTGTGTGTGTGTGTGTGTAAAAGAGTTATACACTAAATTTTGTCTAAATATATTTTATGGTGTCAAATAGTTATTTACTGTAATAATAACATTTTGATTTATAAAATTAGGTTTTAATATATATGCTTACAATTCCGTATATAGTCAGACTCCTTGTGGTGGTACTTTGATATTGTATGATTTAGATTTTGATCAAATCATTTATATTAGTTTTTTTTAAAGAAAATGATAACGTAACGCTTGACCAAATCCACTATTAGTAGTCCACGACTCAGCATTGAAATATGTAACAAAAAAACAAAAATGAACGCATCTGTCCTTTTTAGAGCCTTTTATTTTCAAGCTCAATAATGTAATAGACCCTGACCTTTAAAAAAACTATATTATAATTTTTTCTATTACAAATTGTGATATAATTTTGTTTGATTTTTATTGAAAAGAAAATGACAAATATATCACTAGCTTTAATTGAAAAATATAGCTGCAAATATTAATTTTTATCCCTAAATGTAAGAACACTTCTATAAAATAGCTAATTGAATTCATTAATTATGTCATAAATTTGAAAATACATTTGACATGAATTTTAAACCCTATCTTTAGATGTGTCAACGTTTAAAATTTATTATTTAAAATTATATTGTATCAGATTTTAAATACTATTCGGACCGAACTTAATATTATTGATGTTTTGTTTTTTTTTTAAGAAAAATCATCTATCGGACAATGGTAACCCCATGTTCACCAAAAAAGAATTGGAGATATCATCCAAATTTTCTAAAAGAAATAAATTCCCATTTAAATATTTTCTCATAAATTTTTAATATAGTTTCATGTAGAATACTTTTTTTCGGATTTTTTGTGGGTGTTTAGATTTTTCTTATAGATGTTGAGACCATTTAATTTAGCGATTAATAAAATTTGAAATCTAAACCGAGGGTTTTGGGAAGTGTTTCTTTAAAATCCTATTTCATTGATTAATTTATCTTTTTTTTTTGTGATTTTGAGATTAATTTAACTATTTCAACAAGGGCTAGATCTTTCTAGTGTTCTACTTTAAAATCAAAATTTCTTATTTTTTTTCTCTATTGGACCGAATTTTTAGTTATGTGCATCAACCTCACGTTCCGCATGCGTATAATTATATTGAAATATTTTTTTTTAAAAAAATTATCAAAGAACCAAATCACATGGTGTAGATTTACGTTTCATTGGATTTTTGTTATGATGAATCATGAAACGACACGGATCTAACCTTATCATGAGACCACGACAATAGAGTTAGAGAGCATGTGAAATGTTATTGCCAGTGTTGATTCGCCGCTTCGATACGATCTTCTGCGCCACGTGCTTTTAAGTTGTGCTTGAAGAGTTTAACATGTCACGATGGATAAGATAAAATTATCAAAATTCTGAATTGATTTTGTATAGGAAAATTAGGCAATCCAATAATAATTTTTTTTTCTACCAATCATCATGGAGAATAGTATTTGATGAGTCATCAATTCGACGGTTGTGGCTAAAAGCAGAGACATTAAATGAATAGAAAAAATTAGACAGATTAATAATGATTATTTCCTCCCATAAATCTATAATGCAACTTTTGACTAATCACCAGTTTGTGTGGGTAAATATTGATTTCATCTGGCATTGATGAATCGTCGCTTGATAACTTTGGATAAATGTCCGGTGTCCGACCCGAAGGGTTGTAGGATAGGAGTTTCCCATCGTAACAAAAAAAAAACTTTGGATAAATATAGAATTTCTAAATCGAAATAACCATCTTGGTGGGGATTTCCGTTTCGATTTTGATTTTTTATAACGAGTTCGGATAAAATATTATTATAAAAAACAAAATAGTTTATTTATAAAATTGGGTGGCTCAACAAAATGTGCACCCTGAGTAATATTTTCAATGACATTTTGACCAAATCCTTTTTAAGTTGTGTTATTGTTATGGGTACTAAATAAATCTCCTTACAAACCTACACCCAAAAAGAAAAACAAAGAAGTATCCGCAATCGTATTTCCTAACACTTAGGGCACATAAAGCCTTCAAATTCGCCATCGATCGCAAATCTTGCACGAAAACTCTAAACTCGATCTCAGATTCAATGTTACATGTGCTTTCATTTCCAGATTTTTTTACTTTTACTCGACTTGTATGAATGCTCATTTACTCCATAAAAAAGGACAAATTAATGGGACAGTTTTGAACTGACGTTTAAAAGGTCAGATGTTAACCAAATTTAACACCTATGAATTTGATGCTTTGGATGTCTAGATTCTGATGGTTCTAAGTTTCACATAGTTGTGAGTTTTCTATCAAAAGTTATGGTAAATTTAGTGAGCAATGTCCATGAATTAATATATTTTTAAAAGGGGATACTACAAATATGCTTTTAAATGTGCATAGAGACTTCAACCCATACCTTTGTAATCCTAGGGTTTTTAAAAAAATCTGAAAAATATTGAAAAGACATTGTTACCCTTAAAAAAAGGAACACGTGTCAAAATCCTATGAAGAAAGAGAAAAAAGAAGGAAAACATTGTTATCATTAAAAAAAAGGGACGCATGTCAAAATCTGAGTGAATAAAAAAAAAGAAGGAGAAATAAAACTTTTTTTTAAAACTCTCCATCTTCTTCTTCGTTTTCTTCTGCAACTTCTTCTTCGATAATTTTTCTTCAATTTCTCTCTAATGGTACGATTTATTTGGTGATTTTTTATGCAATTTCTTCTTGTAAAACCGTCTTCACTTCAAAATAGCTTCGTCTTCATTGTTTCCGACTCCTTTTGCGTATTCATTTGAATTCACCAAGAAAGGTGGATATTTTTTTTAGAATCTTATGTGTGTGCATCTGGGTAAACAATAAAAGAAGATAAAACAAGTCAAATTGATCATATTATTCGAGTTGTATAGATAAAAAAAATTATGATTTCAGTTAAAGCAATATTTTTCACAGAAGACGAGCCATATGGAAGTTAAATTGGTCATACTAGTCATACTAGTCGCATTTGAATGGTGTGACCAGTTTGACTAGTCTGATAAATCTGGTTAAAAGGGTCACATTCGTCAAGTGTTCATACCAGTGAAGTGCTTACACCCTTCAATTGGTTATTCTAGCGAAATGGTCACACGATCAGACTAATCAATTTGGTCAAGAAATCAAGTGGGCAATATTGGTCGACTTGAATTGTGTGATTCGTTTGACTAATCTGATAAAAGTGGTCAAAATGGTCATATGATCACATTAGTCAAACTTGTTAAAAAGTCAAGTGGTCATACTAGTCACACTGATCGCATTTGAAAGGCATGACCAGTTTGATGAGTTTGACTAGTGTGATAAAATTAGTCAAATTAGTCACACTAGTCAAACAAAACTAACAATGAGTGTTTAATTTATTTTGTAGGTTCTATTTGTATATGATTTAAAGGACATTTATCAGGCTCTCAGTGATACTTTTTTTAATAAATTATACTTAATCATGTTTACTCTACGAGTATAATTTTAATCATATGTATTTAATTGGGTCAAAACTTTATACACCAAATTGAACTTTCAAACCTTAATTTAGATTAACATTTTTTTTTCATAAATCATCGCATCGTCAAACTCGTCGCACCGTCAGACCCGTCAAACTGGTCGTACCATATTGAATTTTATGATTTTATCACTTTCAAACTGTAAACATATTGATAATTATCCCATATAATAAATATCTTAAGTTAAAAATAATCATATCTCTCTAATTTTAACGCATTTATCTTTTGACAATGCATGTTCTCTAAAAAAAACTATT